CCTCGAGTAATTCAATAACTACGTATTCCTGTAGTAAAACTCTAGTTATATATGTAAATTACTTTTTTTGTTTCAGGGATTGAATGACAAAGAAGCGAGACTTCGTTTCTGGAATTGGATTTCATTGGTACCATTGATGGAGTATCTCCTGCCAAATCGCTAAATCTAAGTCACCAAGCTTTTCCTGAAAAATTTCTATTAGCCACCGAAGCCTGTTAGGGTTCTCTACTTGAAAAACCCAGTGTTCAGTTGGGAAGTTGGGAAAGAGCGGAAGATTACGCTTACGATATCATAGAAGTATGCCATTGAGGTCAATAACGGTGAGGATGTAACTTTTATATGAAAATTTTTTTTAATAATACCATTTCTGTTTAGGACCTACTTCATTGGATAACCGGTTGGATGGATTGGAATTTGGCTCTGAACGCTAACGGCGGTCCCAATTAATTGGGCAGAAAACTTCGTAGATTGACCTATTATTGTTAATTCAACTTCGGCAGAATTCTACCAGCAACCTATGTATTTTGCACTGGCTCACTTCAGGTACAAATTATCGAATTTATTTTCAAGGGAACTAATGTACGAATTAATGAGTGATTTAACAGTAAATTCCTTCCTCCCGGAACCATTCGCATTGATTCAAATGTGAAAGGAATGATGCTCGATCTGTTTATTGGAGCAGCAGCATTCTAACGTCTGGATAAAGCCGTAGTATTGATTCTCGTTAACCGCTTCTTGTCCACTTTTTTTAAAAAAAATTTTAATTAAGCATAAAAAAATACTTAAAACTGAAAAAAAAAATCGAAAGAAATGCGATAATTTTGGTTAAAAAGCTTCATCATTTAGTTTCCTTTGTCTCGCCTTTCTGTGAAATTTAACACCCATGAGTCATTGTTTACACATCTGTATGACCTTGAAAACAGCTGGTGTCGTATTTTCCCGGGACATTCTCAGACGTCTCGGGAGGAGAAGGGTTTAAAGTAGGGTGACTAGAAATTAAACCTATATTTTTAAAAAATTATAATTTTTATTGAGATTTCCGACCCCCCCTAATTAATTAAACATATATATACTGTAATAAAATCTATTGGAGGTCGTTTTTGACATCAGGAAGCAGCTTTAAATAACTTTACCGAAGGAAAATAGGTGCACTACAACTCTAGAACGATTAATTAATTTTGATAAAAAAAAAACTCCCATTAAAAAGCAATTAAGCCTTAATCGAGCCTTATCAAAGGCTCATTAAAATCGCGATAAAATTTTTTCGCGCGGGCAAAAAATTTTTAAAAAATTTGGACCTAAAAAACATTCCAAAAATAAAAAAAAAATTTTTTTTGGGGGGCCCAAACGCCCGTTTTTTTTTTAACGCTATAAACCTTGCTGGAGTCACACTCGAGCGTGGTTAATAGGTTTGTCTTCTAATTTAATCTTATTAATCTCATTGTATAATAGTTACTGTTATTTAAATTGTTTTAATCATTTCTTTATATTGAAAATTGAAGAAATCTCTTGAAAATTGACTACGTGTTGAGAGATGATAAATGGGGTTACATGTCAAATAGTATACCCGCTCAGGCATTTGGAGAGCTGAATGAAAAGTAAGTGTTTATTTTATTATAAATTTGGCATGTATATATAAGTGATCTGTGAGACTACACGATGATGGTTAGCAGGTAAATTTAGTTTCATTGGCAAAAATGATATTTATCAATAGTCAATGTTAAACTAAAATTACTTTTTAAAATAATTTTAATTATTTCTGGGTTAGCTTTCTTTTAAAAAAATTTTTCAACACCATGTTTGGGACACAAGGGTTGACCTTATTTCTTGAAAAATACATTGAAGATCTTTCTCACTTTAAACCTTGTCCTTTTTTAAGACTTATTAATGACACTCTAAACTGTTGGTTGATTCCCATTAACAATTTTTTCTCTCTCTTGTAGTGTTGAATTGTTATTTTCCTTTTATCTCTCTCTCTCTTTGATACCAGTAATAAAAAAGAAGGAATTTTTATGCATTTTCTTAGCACAATGTTGCCATTGAGAACATATCACACAGGAACACTTTCAGAGGAAAAAGGTTGTTTTATTGGTGTGAACGGATATGTATTTCAGGCTTAACGCTCCTCTTCAGTCCCATTATTACATATTTATCAGTAAATTGATTACAGAATGCATAGAAAAAATTAGAATGTGTGTGCAATGATTTATATAATAAAACTTAATTATCTGAGCTAGTGACAGTTAAACCAACATGACTCTTAAGAAGATATCACACAGGAACACTTTCAGAGGAAAAAGGTTCAACTACGTGTATGTGTTCTCAACGGCAACATTGTTCTAAGAAAATACATATAATAGAGAACAACAAGCAACCAATTTTTATGCAGTTTCTAAAAAATTTTCCGTTGTAGACTACTGCCGGAGTCGGAGTTTTTACCTTTCCTATCCTATAGTTGACATCCATCAAAACTACCCACAATAACTTACATAATTGTAAAAGGAATGGTCATATTTTTAATTTAAAAAATTTTCAAACAACATTAAAAACTGTTGATAATGACAAAAAAAAATACTACAATAACTTTTTATTTAAATTATTGAGGACATTTTCAAAGGAAGTCAAATACAGAAAGGATAAAAACTGGATACCAACAGTAGCTTGCCGAACACTCCATATTAACAACCCTTACAAAGAAAAAAAAATTTTTTCCAAAGAACATGCTTCTAAATTAGTAAAAAGCCATTGTCATATTTTGAGCAGACAGAAATGATTGAAAATATACCAATAACTACAGAAAATATGTAAATTAGATAAACTCATATGTACACTTGCAGCTCTACATTCTCATAAATAATATCAAACTTTTAGGATTATTTTGAAAGAAAAACATAACTTGAATTAATTTAAATGTTTGTTCATATGTAAAAGACAACACAGGAAATTTGTGATAGTTCCAAATCCTGTTAGTTCGTCCTGGCTGCAGGTATAGAGATGTACACATTAAGGAATTTGGTTAGTTTGAAGTACAGCTACTTTGAAATTCCAAGTTTCTGCCCAAATTCAATTCAACCTTACCCATGGACTATCTCTAAAATATGACTGGGTTTTGGGATTGTGATATCTGTAGGGATCTAGGCTACTACTATTTGGGCCAATTTTGAGGAATTCTGCTTTACTTTTTGTAATCTGGCAACTTGAGGTTCTCACTGGACACATGCTGTTTACTTGCAATTTAGTCCAATCATTATTCTAATGCCAGAGCTGCCTGCAGTTTATTTATATTACTATTTTCATTAATTGATAATTAATAATATTTTGTATATGTAGCCGTATTCTGTGAGCTTACTAAAACACATCAGTGGCATTTTAACATATTTCTGTACAATATGCTATCTTGGATAATTCGAAAACATGAGGATTTCCTGTGTTAAAGTGAAATTCATAAACTAAGATGTTGAGTCACTGTACTGTGTATTTGATTCGTGTGGACATACAATTACCTGGTTGTTGAGTTCAGGCTTATGAAGCCCACAAAATTCTACATCAGAGACACTCAAACCTTTTCTGTGTATCAGCCTTCCTACATAACTTTTAAAAGAACTTAAGGAAGATAAATTTTACATATTAGAGAACTGATCTCTCATGACAAATACTCAAAAGTCACATCAAATTTTTAATAGCAAACTTTAAAACATCTTAAAAATAAATATTGAGTTTCACATAATTTTATAAGGCTTAAATATACAAAAAATCATAACATAATAATAAAAACAAACATTTATAATACATTTTCTTCTTCTTCTTCTCATGGATGATCTTGTATGTTCCTGTTTATAAAAAAATTTATTCAAGGATTAAAAACGAATTATTTTTTTCCTAATTTAGATTAAAGCATTTTGTAAACAAATTTCTCCAGCACCCAGGATGCTATTTTCTTATAAAGAAAGTGTTTGTTATGTCAATTCCTTAAAGTAATATAGATAATAAGCTTCTACTTGCTTATAAGCTTTCCTGTGAAAAAATAATTTTGAAAGCAGATAGGGTTACGCACAGCTGTATTGAGATCAAGTTAGTTTACTTTTAATACAGTTCTCTTCATAAATGTGCATTAGCATGACAAAGTCACTGGGTATTATCAATAAAAACTTCCAAAGTCTCAACAGAATATTACACATTGCCTTGCTAAGAATATACATGAACACTTACTGGTCAACTTTAACTAACTCTTGATCCTTGAGCCTAAATTCAACCAGTAATGATGCAAGTTATCTGTCAATCTTAACTCACAATTATGAATTTATTCAACAGCTTATGTCTAAAAATATCAATACTAATAGAATATCTTTATTGCAGTTTTTCCAGAATAACCAAGACACATGGAGTTCCATGAGGAATAGCATCAACAAAATGCCCTTCTTGCAGGAATGAATGAGAGTGATAAAACAATAAATAAATAAGATGAATTTCTGTAAATAAAACTAATACTCCTAAACTTAAAACATTGCATTAATTTATGATAACAAAAGTTATCATAACTTTTGTTACAAAGCAAAGACTTCTACACTAAGGGCTTTGAATATGGTGTAGGATGAGAAGGGAAACAGGTTAGAGTTTCAATTAATATATAAAAATATTCATTCGATCATATTATTATCATAAAGACTGTTTTATTCCTGAGGTGTTTAAATGTCTTCATATTCAGTCCTTTTTAAAAGTTGGAGTTTACTTTTCTACAGCAAAACAATTGGTATCTCAAAGTTAATGTGAAATTAATGCTATTTAAACAAGCTTCCATAAAGCCTACTCTGTACCACGTTGTGCCATGTTTGTGAAGCCCACCAGGGGGCGATTGGATAAAACTACTGAATACCGGTAGTTGGTTTGGGTTCATGCCTCACCAATGAGCTGGCCATGTGAAATTTTCTGGGGGTTTTTCATGATATAGCACTAAATAGGGCCAGATTAAAATTATTAATAATAATCAAATTTTACAAAACTTACCCTCCTAATTGACCACCACAGCTACTGAAATATTTATTATAGTCAATTCTCAATAACAACTGAGCAAGATGGGGACTAGAATGATGGCTGTAAAAGCTTGATAAAACCCTAAAAAGAAGATGTGTTTGTCTCCGAAAATTCTGAAATAACATTTTATTAACTTAGCTTTGATATAAGATTAACATTTATATTAATTATGTCAAGCAAATACATACCAAAGCAATGCTATTTAACTGAGTCAATTCTTTTTGTCCAAATGGTGATGATTGCAGAACCAATGTACACAAAGCCAAACATTGATTTAATATTTCTTTGAGGCAAAGATACACCTTTAAATTTTTAATGATTTTCATTAGCAAATAAAATAAACACAGAAAATATACTTGTAATCTCTGCTTACTGGCTCAAGCATTAAAAAGCTTTGAGAAGTAATTGATGTTAAAAAATTTTCGTGAGCATGCTGAATTTCTTCAAAATCTTTTATTGATTTAACTTTTTCAACAAATAATGAAAACTGGCTTTCCAAAACATCAACCTATAATAATGAAAAACATTAAATTTAGACAGACTTAATGTGAACGATTAGCATTTTTGGAATATAGTTATAGGGTGTGTATTTTGATTTTCAAATTATTGTTAATAAATAATTCAGGAATGCAACTTAAAAATAAAAAATTATTCTCTCATTAGTCATCACATTATTTGTCAAGATGGACGAGCTTAGTGGCTTCAACTAATCATACAGCAATATTTTAGAAATAAGGCCCATAGTATTGGTTTTCTTGATATTATTATTATTAAGGCATTCTAGAGAAAGCAGATTAGGCAGCATGAAAATAATGGTAGACAGGAAGTTTTTATTACTAGTAAAGCTATGGCCATTTTGTCCATGCCATATGCTAGGCAAATTGGGTAATATATATATATGGATAGGAAGATAGGCCAATCTTTATCAAATCTGGTGTTTATGCTCTGAGTCTAATCTTTGTGACATCTGGGAATATTCATAATCAAAGGCAATCTAAAAATGAGGAGAGTTTCTATTACAATAGTTCTACCACCAGATTTCTTAGAGTAAAAATGCTCCATTATTTTTGCTGTTATCTCTAGTACAACATTAGTACAGTAATACCTCAGTTTTTGTCGATTTTTTCGTGAAAAATTTGTTTTTTCATCATTTGCAAAATTAGCAGTGTGATCTCACCACTAGTTTTGTGAAAACAAAGGGCAACCCATGCATTTTTCTCATTGTATGAGCATTACCCATGTTAAATGTTCATTTATTCTTTACATTAATATAAAATGAATATAAAAGACTAATTTCTTGTTATTTTTTGGTATGTATTTTAGAGTGTCTGGAATGAATTAATTGGATTTATATTGATTCATATAAAAATAATTATCTCAATTTTCATCAGTTTTGGATTTTGCCAATTGTTTTCGGATGGATTAGCAACAAAAACCGAGGTATCACTGTATTTTTTGTATACAATGAAAAATACAGCAATATCTTGGGTTGTTCTTTTCGTCCTGTGGGCACTAAATGGGCTTGCTAAAAGAGGCCCTCTATGGGTTTGACCAGGTCCACAATGGGGCAGCTGGGTGTGACATATCCAGTCGAACCACCCCCGAAAAGTTCCTGGGGATTTTTTTTTAACTTGCCCGGATTCAATCCTGGGTCCCCAGAACAGTAAGCTGCTACCTTGACTGCTCAGCCATTTGGCCATCAAATTTACACAATGGGTTTGGGACAGAAATATGATGGTATTCTGGAATAAATCAAGTCTTAATAAATAATGTCAAAACAGCTTTCCTCTTAGGATTTTGGAGCAAATTTACATTTATTGCTTATCCAAATACATCAGCATGATTAACAGTCAAGATTCAATGTCCACGACAGCTGAAGCCAATTCTAGATAACATAGTTTTATGAAATTCATATTATCTAATTCCTCTATTAACTTGCCAACAAAATAGTAGTTGGCTTTATTTTAGTTTACATTTATTATATGTTTATGTTTTACTTACATGAATAAAAATATGTATAAAATATATATATATATAATTTATGTATATTTAACAATTTTATGTTTGTCTGTTCTGAGAAAAATGTATAAATATGTTATATTTCATACTTGTGTTTTGTTTTAAATTTATGTTCTTAAAACTTGTAACATAGATAATCTGATTTTTATCTTCAACATTAAATATGTTATAATACTTCTCAAGAGTTATAAACATTCATTTATAATTTTAAATAACTACCTGTAAATAGTATTGCAAGTTGTCAACCAAAAAAGACATATGAGTACGTAATTGCCAAAGAGGAACAGAAATAGATTCTCTACCAAGTCCTTTCTTATCCATCTGGAAAGCCCAACATTGATGCAATTCCATCTGTACATGTCTTACAGACAAAAGAAATCTGAAGATAACATTATATCTAAAAATAAAATGGATTTTTATTTTATATTTGACTTTATATTTTAAATAAAAATTAATATAAATTAACTCGAATACTGAACACTGAAGTATAATTTTACATAAAAATTTATTAGAAAACTTATATGAACTCAAATTTGATTATTTTTTAAATTTGATATGGAGAGTTCCTGAATTATACAGTAATTCACTCTATGTAAAGCTGTGCCAATATCCATTGAAAATAAGTGGTGTTTGAAATATTTTATAGATAATTACAAACTTGTACTAAATTTAAAAGTGCAGGAATTAATAAAATTGATAAATTTTCTATAGACTATTGCAAAATTTCTCTCCCATAATAGCAGCATTTTGGAAATAAAAAATTATATCACTGGAATATTTATTACATTATACAGCATGTCCTGATAAAATCAGCCCTATTCACTAATTGAGTAAATTATTGTAATCTTCATTTTGGAAAGAAGGGACAAGGTAAAACAAAATAAAATTAGAAAACCTAACATAACCTTTGTGAATAAAAAGCTTTATCATTTGAGATTTCCTGGTTTTACATTGAACACCGTGTATATAGCAATGGAGATAATTTAATTACAGATAGATGGCAACTTAAATATAATTGCTGAATATTAAAAATTTAACACAAAATTATTATTAAGCTGATTACAATATTCAAAAATAAAAAGTATTTTATTTTTGAACATTGTAATCTAAATTCATCACAACATATAATTATCAGTGATGTAACGAATATTCGATTACTATTCGGTATTCGGCCTATTTTTCGCTATTCGGCCGAATACCGAATACTTAAAAACAGGAGTAAGAAATAACAAAAAAACAGTAAATTAATCATTTTGGTATTTAGATTTAATGTTATCAGGTTAGTGTTGTTCGTTTATATTTATTTATAACTTATAACATGCACAAAATAAAAAAGAACTTAATATTAGTCACTTGTATTCACAATTTATAATTACAAAGATCAGCACACGTACACACCTATTCGTTCGAGAATCGTCGCACATCTGAGGGTCTGACCCTGCCTATCCTTCTTTTTAAGCGCTCGTCTTTGTTCTTCCCTTTCTCTTTCCTCTATCGCTCTAGTCCATGTATGCCTATGCATACACCATAATACACCCTCACGATACTTTCGATTTGCAACTTTTCCGTTGTCGATTTTCCATTTTACAATTACGTGCCTTGTGATAATGGAGAAAAGAGACAGATAAGACATCGGTATAAGTCACAGTTATGATTTCACAGATTTGAAACAGCTTGGTAGCCCAAACGACCCCAGGCTTTCGGCCGTGCACGCTAAGTGACTTTCATTACAAGCATTTAGCTTTCCGAAGTCTATGACAACAATTGTTTGGCATTTACAGCTGCAAATTTCGCGCCAATAAGCTGCCTTGACTTGTTCTAGGCAGTTTATTGAGTTGATAACATAATCGACTTGTTCGATTATGTTATCAACTCAATAAATTGCCTAGAACTTCGATTATGTTATCAACTCAATTTCATATTTATTTTCACTTTGCAGTCCTTCTCTGTTCTTCCGTTATTTACACGTGTAGGTCATTTCATTGTTATCCACATTTAATATCATCACTTATCACATACTGCCATGACGCTCTTGTCTGAACTGTCAAGAATTAACGCGATTGGCGAAGCGTAGTGACAGTGGGCCAATAGAGAGCAGGGTCTTTGCCATAATGTGGTTTGCGCACCAATTTTCGTACGTGCATTAATCAAGCCGAATAGTTTGACCGAATATTCGGCTATTCGGCCACGCTCCTGGCCGAATATTTGGTATTCGGCCTGAGGCCGAATATACTATTCGTTACAACACTAATAATTATTAATGTCAAATTCATTAATCATAAAAACTGGAGTTTGGTTTAATATATTTCTCATTAACAGCTAATAAATAGATTTTAATTTTTAAAAACATTTCAAAAATTTACGTTTTATTTTTAGTGTGTATTAAATAAACATAATACTTTTCAGGCTCTGTTATATGTAATGGAGGGAAAGTATGGCAATCAGTCAAAAGATGACCCCCCGAGATTTTTACATTTTTGGACTCAGAACCTTGAAATGTCAAGAAATGCAAAAAAATTTGGGAGTACAGTAGAGCCTCGATTATCCGACCCCCAATTAACCGACACCTCGGTTAACTGACTGTCCTAGTCGGCAAATTTCAAATGTCCGCTAGTGATGTGGCACTACTATATTTGGCTATGTCTTGGCTACTTTAATATTATTTTTACGTGTTTTAGCTGGCAACACTCATTCGACCATGAAAGGGAGCCAGTATTTAAACGAGGCTTAATTTTCTAACTTTTAACGATACAATAGCGACGATTATTATTTTAAAAAATTTTTGTTAGGCTTAACGTTGATGAAAATTCAACGCGAAGTAGGTTAATAGTGATATACTAATTACATGGGATATAATAATATACTACACTAATAATGGATTTTTTCATACTTTTTGGTTATCCGACTTTTCAATTATCCGACCAACCCCAGTCCCCAATTGAGTCGGATAATCGAGGCTCTACTGTATGTATGGATATGTGTGTGTATGCGGGGGACACAATTTTGTTTGCCCTCTTTGAAGCTTAATAACTCTCATGCTTTTTGTCAAAAATTTCTGAAATTTTGCATTGAGGTTTGCGTATTGGCAGATTGATGCTATTAAATTTTGGTGGTAAAAGTTGATGAGGTGGAAAGAAAAAGGGGGTCGTATGCCCTATCTTGAGCTTTTTGCCATTTATAATAATTAAAAATATATTTTATTAAAAGAACTTTTTATAACAGTTGGTGCCACACACACACACAGTTTTAAATGTTGCCAGGAAAGTTAAACAACTCATTGCTGGATTTTTTAACATTGTTATTTTTCACATGCATTCAATTTCATAAGTTTTTACTATCATTTAATATATAGCTTAAATCATTTCTGAACTTTTGTTTCTGTAGAAGTTATACTTAACATTTCATAATTCCTTTTAGGTTGAATAAATAAAAATAATATTAGAGATATCATTTTTATATTCAGAATAACATTACTATTGTAAATTTGACTTGAAGTCCTGGATAGAGCATTTGTGTAGAGATTAAAGTATAAACTTACTAAAAATTTCTACAATGATATAAATGATTTCAATATTAAATTTATCATACCTATCTAGAATTGATGGTGTAAGAAGAATATGCAAAGGCCAAGGAACTTCATATATTAGTCCAATACATGACCAACCAGTTTCTTGTTTAACTTTAAACAGTTCTTTTACTCCTTCAGTTTGTGCTACAAAATTATTTATTATTTTAATTTCAAGCAATGTCGAAATAAAATATACTTCAAAAAGCATAAATATATTGAAATTACTATAAATCTTATTTAAAATGTTTAAAAATTTTGTTACATTTTAAATTTCATATAGAAGTATATTAATTAAAATCATTAACTCACAAAAATCATTGTAATATAAATCTTAAGTATTACTTAATTAGCTTTATATCATTACGATTACACAATTGTTTATTTGTACAATTACAAAGGAATAATTTCTTACTTAAATAAATTTTAAATATAATATAATAAAAAAAACAGATTAAATGAATTTGTTAAAAATGTATAAACAAGCAAATTTAATATTTACTCTACATACAGAGTCTTCTAAAAAAATGTTACCATGTTAATTATTATCTGAGAAGTATGCATTGTACACCAATCAATTGTGTCACTTAGTTTCACCTACCATCTGCATTCAAACATCTTTTTGTCTACAGCTCTCTAGGAAGTGCCATAAACAAAAATAGTAATTCTGCAACAGAGAAGACATTTGTGTTCTGCATTACACAAACTTAGAATCAGTAGTCAGCACTGTGCAACAATGTTCGCCATACATGATGGATCACTTTGAAATCGTCTGCAAAACTCATGTTGCATAAAGATGACATACTGACTTTGCAAACTGCAGAACATTCTGTTGTGAAGTTGCCATTTCTTTTATGGCAACAGACAAAAGACATTTTTATGCAGATGGTAGAAGAAACTTGGACATTTATTCTATTGATGGATGTACATCGAAAATTTCTCAGTTAATAATTAACATAATTACAGCAATTTAAAATGGCAGTATTCTTTTTGGAAGACCATGTAAAATTTATATAAATAAAATGTTTGAATTTTTNACCCAAGTCTCCCTAGTCGCTAACTGTAACTGATTTAGAACCGGCATGCACTGCAAATTATTCTTCATAGCAAAATGATATACTCATGCGTCAGGAACTTCTGTTAGAACAAACCTTATCTGCCGTCAGGGTCAGCGATTTTAAAAAGGTAGCAACACTAGCACGGAATTTTTCATTACTTATTCTGTGACTAAACTAAATTTTAGTCTTAAATTGAGATACCTAAATAAGGGGGCGGCGAAATTTTCCTCCGCCCCGGGCGGCTGACACCCACGCTACGCCACTGGGCCTAAATACGCTTAACTAGTTTGACCTAGGCCGAACTGATTTAGAATTATTATTCAAGTATATTAATGGTTAAAATAAAATTAAAAGGCAATCAATTAGATTAACAATATGTATTGAAACATAATCTACTTAATTATAAAAAACGGTATTGATTAGAAGTGACACAACACTTGTACAAAACTATAAAATAAAAATAAGCTAATCAATACTTATCAGTTTGTATTTTTTTATTAAGCCATGCACTTTTAAAGGTTAAAGCCATGCACTCTTAAAATTTTCGAAAATATTTTCAAAAATTCAAACGAAATAATAAAAATAATTTTTAGAGTCAAACTAAAATTAAAAATGAACTTGTTTGTGTTTCTTAGTGTAACATATAAAATATTTAATCTTTTATTTATTTTTACAGGGTGTACTGTCGCTGCATTTTGATTACACAAAATAATTTTTTTTTTTTTTTTGCACTGGCACTTATTGTAGCACGGTTTTTGGTACAGGTGCATCTCATAAAACCTTGTCCTGTTCCAACTGAATGTTTGGTAGTTGCAGTCCTTAGTGAGATTTGAACGTCTTGATTAACATCACTTTCTTGTAGAAATTTTTTAGTACAATGGTCGAATTCAGTTCTGTAATAAACAAATATTTTATTTTGACAAAATTACATAACATACATATACTTTTTAGACCAAACAAAACGGCGTTTAACATTGCGCTATTTTTCTTCGCGATGTTATTGATGCAGCTCATAGAGCTGTCGGACACGGCGGACGTGACAGATTAACCCTCCATTACAAATCTAAGTACAGCGTAGAATGTTGATAAAGCATGATAATGTGAAAAATGTATCTGTAATCTCTATGTACAATTTAGTCTCTACGGGGTGAAACCACAATGAGATCTCGCACCACCTCAAAATCTTCCTGGGACAGCCTCTGGTTCGGCCCGTGAAAAAAGTTTTCTTTCCAATTCGGCTCGGGGGCAAAAACTGTTGGCCACCCCTGACCTATATGGTGGAGCTAAAATTACATAAATTAAATCAGATAATAATATATTTTTAATGTAATTGTAAATGAAAGGACATAAAAGTTATTTAAATATTTAGTGATATAATCGCATGACTAAGCCTGAAAAATAATAAATGGCATAATAAGGCATTATTTTTGTATTGGTAGCAAGTTTCCGAGTAAATGAAAAGAAAACAAATTGGCTTTTCCAATATAAAATTTTAAAATTTCTATCTTGAAATTTAACTTCGTAGATTGATATTATTAATAATTGATTAAAAATAATAATAATGAAAATTTGCAATTACAAAACTATTCACCTTGATTACGCATTAGTGCTTTTGACCTTAATCATGACCGATTTTTACTTAGAAGTAAGAATTATCGATTTATTTATCCATGTAAATAAAATAAAATATTACATTATAGCAATTCTAACTTTAAAAAATAATACTTTATAGAAATCCGAATTTGTAAAAAAAGAAGATGGCGCTTTACATCGAGAGAATTTCGTTGACATATGAACATGTGAATTTCCGACCAGTTGACAACTTCTGATGAAATCTTTTATTAAATTGCAAAGGCAAGCTAATATGAAGTGTGGATAAAAGAGGACAGAAGAAAGCTGTATATCGCATGAGTAAACGTCACGTAAATAAATAAGTGTGATTTCCAAGCAACAAGTGATATTGACAGCAGAATTCAGATTTGATAATGTAATAACTTTCACTATTGATTATGTATTAAAAATTGAGCTGTGCAACTTCCTGTTTACACGAAGAAACTGCAGAATTAGTTTGCTCACATGGAAAGCTTGAGAAATGGAATCGGAAAATCGCAAAACAATTAAAAGCCAGTTAACCAGATTTAAAAAATGGATTTTATTCATATTTATAGTAGTAATTTTTATAGTGTTTATAACTTGGGAAAATGACAAGTTTAAAGGAGAGTTTGCAACTGATATTGATCTGAAAGAAATATTTTCTAAATTGGATATCGATAATGATAGATGTCTGAGTTTTACGGAATTTTTAAACATTATCAAATATGATTTAACACCACTTAAAATATATTCACAGAGTACGAGTTCTAATTACATTGTACGTGAAACATTTTATATATATAATTAAATGTAAATAAGTAGTCAAAGTCAATTTTTATGCTATACTTATTTTACAGATTCAAGAGGCTCCAGAAATTGTTATTAATCCTGAAGATGAAGTAATCACGATTGAATCGAAATTTCAACCATTAAGTATTGAGTCCTTGTCTAAAGAAATAACACCGGATATATTGCGGGTATGATTTTATAACAAATTTTTAAAATCATGACTAGATATACTGGATTTCTGGGGACTTTCCCATTTTTTCTTGTTAGAACTGATTGTAGAATCAATTTTTGAATAGAACAATCAAGTATCAATTTGAATAGAAGAGTTTTATTAACAATTTTAATTTAATATCAACAATTTATAGATTATTTATTTTTTAAAATTTATTTATTTATTGCAGTTCAATCAGTTCAATCACTGATCTGAAATGTGTCCATGGTTGGATTGTAAATGATATGGTCTGCCTACGATAGTATGCTCTTGATAATCTGAACTAATTAACACATGAAATTAGTGGAAAGTATGGTTTAGTGGAATTATATACCACATTTCTTTGATTCTAAGGTACAACTTGAGTTTTAAATGAATTTTAAGAATTTTTTTTGAAGAGAAAAATTTATAAATAGTTTATATTGTTTTTCTAAATTGTTATATAATAAAACATCAAGAAACACATATTATTTGGCAGCTTTGCATGCTCTTCTTTATATTTAATAACCATGTTTTAATGCTGCATCATAATTTCAGAAATGATCCCTTGAAACAAGATTATAATTTTATCTTGAAGGCATTTTAACAGTAAATTTTCATTACCAGTAAAGCTTATATGAACTGATGTGAATGTTGAGTAGTATAGTTAAAAACATCTATTATTGTGAGTAATGCATCATATAGTTCACTAGTAATGATTATTGTTTGGACTGCTAATATAGGATAGAATGTTCTCAATTGTAAGACACTCCTATTTCAGATAAGTAAAAGTAGTTTAAAAAAGTACATCATAGTATCAAGAAAATATGTTTTAAAAAAAAATACAAAATGATTACAGACAAGTTAAATATATTTGCATGTAATGATAAGCAAGAAAGGTTTATTAAACTGCATAAAACTTATACTTTTGGTCTTATTTAATGACATTTATCATGTTGATGTTCCAAAAGTCAATCATTTATAAATATTAATGGAAATAGAATAGAAATATGAAAATTCCAAACATATTGAAATATAAAAAAAATTTCTAGAATATTCTACATCTCTGTGATATGCACAAAAAAGCTAAAAGACAAAAATAGTAACAAAATGCACATAGTGTTATCTGCAAACCTCAAATCAAGATATCCAAGCATTCATGTCAGGTTTAAGTCCTTGTAATTGACAGAATTTCCCTTACACATTGATTTATAGATTTTAAGTGCCTCAATATTTCTTAAGGTAATGCATATTTCTGACACACTCGGTGACCTTAGCTTCATTCTAACAAATGTTAATCGAATTGTCCAACACATAAGCAGCCAGGGCTGTAGAAGGAAGTAACTTCTTGACATTATATTTATGTTCCTTTAACTGTGAAGTTAAGGATTGCATAGTGACTCCTACATATATTAAATCATGTCAACCTGTCATCTGTGATGGGTGTTCTGTAAACACTTCAAATTCTCAAGGGATCCACTCAATCTTTATCATTCTGCAGGAGTTTATAAACTGTATGATTCTATTTGTACAATATTTTCCTGCTAATGGCTTTCCCAATTTCTTTAAATATGCTATTGTGAGATCAGCCACGGGTATAGGGTGGATCCTATACCTCTTATGGGCTCAGATTAACTGAAATCTGTTCTCTGAGTTTCGGATCGAGAGATCCGATCCTATGTCAAGATTTGTTTGACCGGGAGGGCTGTAATATTAGAGAGGATATAGACGGCTAAGTCTTTATCCAACGTCAGGATTCGTGACACCAGTTTGTCAATTAAATTCCGCGGACAAACACGCGTATGAGATCTGATTCAGACACAAATTAAGAGTCATTTCATTTGATAAACAAACTATAGTAAATTTAATAAAATGTAAGAAAATAAAACAAATACAAAATATCAAATGAAGGAATGATATAACTTCTACAATTAAGATACACATCGAGAGATATACGACCCTATTATACCGATACAAGATCGAGAGAGAGATTACAATATCGTTATAAAACATACAACCTGGTTTAGTTGTCGTTCGTCTTCTTCTCTGTAGGCAAGGGACACTTCGGAGATAAAGTTCATTTACTTCTTTCCATGGGAGATTGATATGTGCACAAAATCAAAGTATAACTTCTAAGTGCTAACTCTGGAATGATTCTATGTGACTCGTCTAAGGGCGTTGGCCATCAGGATAAATTATGTATGGAGTCCTGACTCTTCCAGGTCTGTCGATGAACTCCCCGAATTCTGATAAATTTTCCCTATATCTCATGATTTACGACCAATCATCTGCCAGAAACTCTTTCATGTGAACGGATGAAAGGGGAATCAAAGAGGGGTAGATAGTTCCCATCTGAGCGAGATTTTTAGCGGATAAGGGAAAAACAGAGGATGTACTAACTTCCCTCAAAGGAAGTAACATCTGTTATCTATTTTTCCCACGTTGGAAAACGTTAATTTCTCACCAAAATGAAATAATATTTTACCACAATTTTTAACGTTATTTATAAAATTATTGTTTTAGACCCAGGGGCCTTTCAGATCTCACACTATTGAAGGGACAGTCATATTTGACTACTCTATTGTCTGCTTCAGTAGCATCACATCTATCCTCAGCTTAAGTGTTCTGGAAGTTGTCGATGAGTATTGCTTTCCTAGCTGTTTTACATGAAAGGGATTGTACTGTGAGTGGTCCAAAAAAATGAACTTCTAGATTTTTACATTTTTGGACTTGGGACCTTGAAAATTGAGAAATGCAAAAAAAATTTGGGGTTTTTTTCCGTATGGATAGATGTTGGTTTGTTTGGGGGTACAATTTTGTTCACCTACTTTGAAGCTTAATAACTCTTGTGTTTTTTTGTAAAAATTTCTGAAATTTTGCAGATATTTGTGTATTAGGGTATTGATGCTATTGAATTTTGGTGGTTAAAGGTTGAAGGGATGGTGAGATAGAGGAGGTCATGTGTAATATCTGGAATAGGATTGGACTTGATGAAGATTTTACTTGTTATTAGCATTTACAATTTTTTGTGAAATTGATCTCTATCCTTAAAATTAAGCTTTTTGCCATTTTATAACAATTAATAATATAAAAAGTTTTTAAAATATATAACAGATAGCATCACACATAATTTTAAATGTTTTTTCCAGGAAAATTACACAACTTGTTGCTGGATTTTTTAAAAAATATATTTAAAAAACTTTTTATAATGTATTTGGTATATATATTAAAATGCATATAACATATTACTGTAATTTTATAAATTGGTGATGTTTTTAAAAAATAATTGTGATATCTTTAGATTTGAATGGTATATTAGTGACAAAACAAACTAATTCAAATTCTGCTTAATCCAAACTGATTTCATATTAAACAGTGTTTTTGATTAGTACATGTTCACATTAACAATGTTTACATTAATGGGTCAATTTTGACCAATTACCATACTTTTCCTCAGCTATGTAATAGCTGGAAAAGTAATGTGGTAAATTTATAAAGTTTTAAAAAAACTTTTTTGTCATCTAATAAGTGCAGATTATTGAAAAGGCGACACTTGTGTATAATATACTAAAAATAACTAAAAAATAATGATATAGTACAAAATTTTGATATAATTTGGATTCTATGTGTAATAATTTTATTTTACTGTANTAAAAGTGAATCGCAAACAGAAACATGTTCAATAAATATCATTTTTTATGGTGATTACTTTTGTGTATTAGACCCAAAAAACCTACTGATTACTTTGAATGATATTTTATAGATCAAAATTTGTGAATCCTTTAATTTGAGTTTTTTAATGGTTTTTAAATATTTTAATGATAGTGTTAATGAAAAAGTGACTATAAAATGAGATTTCAAGAATGTAAGGAAAAATTATTTTATGCTACATTAAAACTTGTATAAACTGGAATTGTGCAGCACCAAATTTTCTTTTACCATTTTGGTAGGTTTCCATTTTGAACAGATTTGAACAGCATTACATTACCTTATTTTCAGTATTTTCTACAAATTATATTTGTTGTTTGTTCTCAAGAATTCTGTTCTCAGAAATTAATTCCATTTTTTTAAAGTTCTTGATTCTTAAAAGAATTTGAGTCTGCCTCTGGTTAATTCTAACAAAGACTATAATATTAACAAAGACATTGTGTCCATTCCATTATGACCCTACGTTATGTAATCTTTATTTCTTTGAAAAGGTTTGAACTCATTTTCAGAATACAGTTTGTCATGTTCTGCAGTGATTGTTACACCTTTAAGTTAAGTTCTTCATACTCAAAAATTTTGTCTACTTTTATGTTGGACAGATTTCTATCTTACAGTAAAATTGAACATTAGAAAATCATTCCATTTCAAAGATTTTCCTATTTAGGCAGGCTTTCATTTTATTCAGTTTACATTTTAGACAGGTTTTACTGTGTAAAAATTTCATAATGTTTTTAATATAGACTAAATCATTTGAACATTACTAAAATAAATAAATCAAATAATTAAATAAGAATATAATATTGGTAACTGTTAAAACTCAATGTATTTCATTTGCTTTATAAAGAATATAACTTAAATTTAATGTTATTGTTCTTTAAATTCTTTTCATTATATAGGCTACTACATATAAATACTATTCTTCACCACTATTTTCTCTCATTCTTGTTTCAGATTGCTTTTACAAGGGTGACTCTGAAAGTTTTGCAATACAGGAATACTATAATGTCTGAAACAAAATATTTATGTAACTTATGTAATTGCTCCTTCCAAAGATCAAAGGTATGATGCGACTCATTTTCTGGAAGGCTATCAAAATACTCTGTCACGGAAGCTTCAATTTCATCCTCTGTGTTAAATTTGCAACCCCTCAAATGTTTTTTGAGATTAAAAAGTAGCCAGACATCACATATTGAATATCCACTATATTCACCAGATTTGGCAATGATTCTGATATTATTAGCTTGAAGGAAATCAACAGTCTGCTTGGCAGTGTGTGATGAAGAATTATCATGATGCAAAATTAGACCTCAAATTTTTAGTGACTCCAGAATTCTAGGAAGACAAACTGTAGTGTACCAATTAGTTGTTATTGTTTTCTGTTTTTCAAGCTTAATTGCTTTACTAGATCAGTGCTATAGAACAAAACTGCAAACAATTTTTTTTATTGCTCTCTTCCTTATCACAGTTGTCATTATTATGAATCCATATCTGGCTTTCTTGGGACAGTCATAAAATGGTATGTATATCTGATCACCTGTGATAATCTTGGAAATAATCTGGTGTCCACCTTGGTTCAACATCTCCAGAGTTTTCGTAAAGATTCTGACATGATCTGACTTTTGGAAATTATCAACTGATGTGGTATTTACGAGACTCTACTTTTTTAACCATAACTCCTTATTCAGAATGTCTGCAACTGCAGAGGCTCCAATCTGCAGTCTCTCCTGTATCATTAATAGGTACATCTTTGGTCTTCTGCAATCATATATTGGATAGAAGTTACATTTTCAGGAGTCACTGCTGTTCATGGTCACCCTGCATGTGGTTCTTCATGAAAGGAAGTACAACCCCTCTGAAATTTTTTGTATCATCTGAACACAATAGTAAAGGATGGGGCATCATCTCCAAAAGCCAATTTCAATTATTTATAACAGTTTTTTCATTCAGTTCAACACAAAATCATTGCACAATGTGCTTCTGTAGAAACTTTCTAATAGTAACAATGGAAAGGGACTGTCTCACTTAGATTAAGGGAGATTGATGAAATTTGATTATGCATAATGTGTCATATGAAGTAAGTTTATTAGTAAAAAAAACTTTAATTTATCATGGATGATTTTCTTGTATTGCAAAACTTTCAGAGTAACCCCCATATTCCATTTCTACTTTCTTCCTAGTGATTGTTATTCTCATATCTTAGTGATTTCTTCTCTGTCACTCTTCATACATATTTATATCACATAGATCATTATTTTTTTGTTTCTTTTATTTTCATTAAATTTAGAATTATTCATTTCTTATTCTACTTAGCCTTGTCTTTTGGCATCTGCATTTTCAAAAGTCTATCTTGAAAAAATTATCTTATTTTCCAGTATTTTCATTATCATTCATGTTTATACCCATAAATTATAAAACTTTTAATAATAGAATGAAATATTTTTTCTTTGTTTGATTTTACTCTTCTGTTCCTTCTAGTAGGATGCAGAATTCTTATTACAGTAGAGCGTTGTTTATCCGAATCAATTGGGGACTGGGATTGTTCGGAAAATCGATATTTCGGATAACTGATTATGTATGAAAAAATATATTAACCTATCCCATGTTGAAATTTTTCTCCATTGCGTGTCGCTTCGCATTGAATTTTCGTCGATGTTAAGCCTAACGAAAACTATTGTATCGTTAATAATTATTGTTTTATTTTGTACAAACAAAATAAATATATTGAAAAATATAAAAACAATAAAAAATTATACTTCAGAAGTTAATTTAGTATCAAAAACGTAAAATATTTGAGTAGCCCAAGACATAGCCAAATATTGCAGTGCCACAGCACTGGCGAAAATTTAAATTTACCGACTGGAATTCTTTCGGATAATTGACTTTCGGATAAACGACACTCTACTGTACTTTTTTAGCTTCTCTTGTTTTTCTGTTTAATTCAACAGTGCTTTAAAATTAAATTTAACTCAAAATCATTGATCTTGATACTCTACCATAACAAAAATTTCATACTTTTTCATCATTTTGCAAATAGCAAGTTAAATATAGCATATTGTTATTAATTTTAAAAGGTGCAAATCAAATATAAACACAATTACAGATACATATCAATTGATATTTTTAAAATAATTTCAAAATAGAAAATTTGATTAATTTTCTAGTAAATATTATTCTCATAAAATTAAAGAACTTATCTTGAAAGTATATCCATATTAATCTATACTTTAATTTTTATATACAGAATCAAAACAATGCATTTAAAGGCCTCTTTGATTGGAAGAAATCTGCAGTTAAATGGAAAAACTTTGCTACAAAACATTTTTCTGCATTTTTACCGCCTTCAAATCAAGACTTGAAACTTGGAACTACATGGTGGGTAATTTCTCCATCTTTGAATGAAAGAGTAGCTCAGCTTTCTAGTATGAGATATTACCCACCTAAAGTTGCTAGTCAGTATTATTTTATTCATGCTCTATTGAGTATGTTACATGTACGTCCATTTCTACATTCACGATTTGCTCCTCAAGGGACACTTGCTATTATCAAGGGTATATCAACAGATTTTGTAGATATAATATTTAGGTATATACAAAATTAAGAACTTTATTTAACATTTTCTATTTTATAATTAATTTTATTTTTTAAGAATTTATTATTTGAATTGTTTAGATTGCATGCTGAATTTCAATTAAATAGTCCTCCACATTTTCCATTTTGGTTCACGCCATCACAATTTAAAGGACGTATTATAATAAATAGAAATAGCTCATCTGTTTTTTATTTTAATATGGAAGTTCCTTCTGACAGAAAATTGAATGTTGGTAGGTAAATTTTTAATTATAGTTACTTTCAGTACAAATATATAGCTTGTAGTGAATAAAATATCTTAAATAAAACTAAGTTTTATCCATGATTTGATCACTTGATGATATTAAATAACAATTACATGATTATTTTTTGCATTACTAATAAGTTTTGGGAAAATAGATCACTTACCTTTTTCTCTAGGTTAATAATTTTTAAAAAATTTTAATTTTATTTTAATTACTTAACACAAATATCAATCTGTTTTTATGTTATCCGAACAGTTACTTAGTTACATTATATTATACGATAATTAAGTTTTATTTATGTGATTAAAAGAAATTTTTGGTTTAAATATGGTATGCAGGTATCCCCTGTACAACATGGTACTTCTACAACATGGTTTGAAAATTAGGCATATCTCCTGTACAACGTGACTTTCAGCTTTGTTCTAACATGGTTTGGGAAGTCCTCTGAACAAAATTTCACAATTTTTATATGTAAACTCCATTATTCAATATTTGTTTTTTACTTAAGTATCATGTGTGTTGTCTGAAATTTGTCCTGGATTTTTGAATATTGAAATTTTCAATTTGTTTTGTGTCTTTCATCAGGTTACTATACTGTAATGAAAATTGATATTAGAATTTTTTCTTCCTTGCCCTAGCTTTCTTATCAATCAGGTATCATTGTCATTGCTTTCAGAATTTAGCCCTTTAGACTGTCATTGTGTTTTGTTTTTATAGATTAATCTTCGTATTTAGTAAAGCTTATTTAAACAGTTTTAGGTAAGTGCCATTAACCTTTTTTTAACCTTAGGTAAGTAATCATTCATAAAAATGACAAATGAAATACAGCTATATCTTGGTACTTGAACTGTTCCCAATTTGAACAATTTGGTATTCAAGTACAAATTCTGGAAAAAATCACTTGGTTCTTGACTGAACAAAAGCAACCCACTAGAACAATTTACTGATTATTTTTATTACGTATTTTTATTTGTCATCCATTGAAAATTATGATAAAAATAAAAAATGAAGATGTTGTAGATATTTGTGTTCATGATCAACAAAAAAGCTCAGATAAAAATGATACTTTGTAAGAAGAAAAGGCCCTCATTTAAGTAAAATTAATATTAATGGCACTTTTAATTGTGCTTGTTAGTTAATTATTGATTGCTTTAATAAACTTATTTCTCTTAGTTATGAAAAAGAGTAATATACTTTTGTTAACATCTGGAATGTTACTCTATGTTTTGCATTAGTCCTTTGTTTCATATAGTACAAATTTACATATCACAGCACTTTTTTGGAACATATCTACTGTGTTATATGATGGATACCTATATTTATGATGTACAGACAGAAACATGAATTACTGTTTTGTGAAAAAGTTTTATTTTTCTATGGATGAAACTTATTAATATTAAATGTTACAGTGGACCCCGGTTAACGAACGTAATCCGTTCCACGAGTCCGTTCGTTAACCGAAGCAATTTTTCCCGTAGAAATTAATGCAAATACAATTAATCCGTTCTAGACGTCAGTATTTTTGTAATTTTATTTGTAAAATGGGTTTTCTTTAATGAAAATATAGGAAAACGTGCTCATAAACAGTCGATCTAGGTTAAATTTTCGGAAAAGGGGAAAGATTTGACGGGTATAAAAACATCACATACGATCGTTAAAGTTCTAAAATGACAGATAGCAGAAACAATAGGCTAAATTATGAGCGAAAGGCTTATAGGTTTATCAACAATCTCTGATCAGAGTCGACGAACAGGTGTCAAATAAACGCCTCGGAACAAACCTTTCTCGTGACCTGATCTGGTTTCGGTTTTCACCTGGAGACAAAGAAGAAAACAATCGGGAAGCGAGGAATGGGACGCAGGACTAACCGTAAGGTGAGATTCAAGAAAGAAATACTATAAAACCACGAATCTCAAGGTCAAAACGCAGTTTTCCTAAAAGTTCTATGGCGATTAATCTATGTTGTCTTCATCTGGATTAAGCCTGAAGTCATGCCCGCTAAAATTTGTATTGTGTCTCACGGACTGCTCCAGTCATTGCAGCTCTGTCACCTACCATCGCTTCTCTGACCAAGCGAACCCATCTCGTCCACTCTGGGGCTACGACTAATCAGCTTGCACTATCGTAGGACCAGCGATACGCCACTCAGTGCGGAGAGAAAATACTGTAGATAAGCCATTTCCAACTACCTCAAATATGTAAGCATCTTCCAGTTCTAATAAACGATTTTCACTGTAAAAAACTTGTCATCTTTGTCTCCTCCGCCACCACCAACGTACGAATGAATCCTAGACCATCACCGACACACGATTAACTGATTTTCCCTAAAAGTCAGCAAGCTTACAAATTTGACACAAAAAGCCGTTAAGTTCGTTATCCGAATTTTGTTTGTTATCTGAGACAAAATTTTTGCAAAATAAAAGTTTGTTAACCGATTTGGTCGTTAACCAGGATGTTCGTTAACCGGGGTTCCACTGTATTTAAAAGTACGAATAATGTGCTGTACTAGATTATTTGAAGATTTAGTAACTAAGTTTTTTATTTTATTGTGCTTCAATTTTCAAATTGCAGACCCATACATTTGCACTGTTGTTTGTCTATCTGTCTACCTGTCTATCTGTAGTCTTTCATTAATCTTGAGAATAGAGTTACTTGAAAATTGAGACTAGATATGTAAAACTTGGGGTCTAGAGATCCTGATTAAATGAACCTCCAGTTTGGACCAGAATCACATTTTTTTTTTAAATTAAAAGATGATTAAAAATTGCAGCTTGGCATTATGACGATGTCATAATAAATAATTTTTCATAAATAATTAAATTCAATTAACTGACAAATAAAGCTTATAGTAATTGACACAAATCTAGATGAAATATATTTTCTCTCTAGTAATTTTTCATAGGTTAAAGTATCATGCTTTTATGATTCTCTTCACAGTCTGATATGACAATAGATTTGTCAAGTCACAATATACTTGTTATATAGAAGTGGATGTCTAAGAAAGAAGACATGTCTTCTTTCCACTTTCCACTTTCTAGAAAGAAGACATGTCTAAAGNGATTAAATGAACCTCCAGTTTGGACCAGAATCACATTTTTTTTTTAAATTAAAAGATGATTAAAAATTGCAGCTTGGCATTATGACGATGTCATAATAAATAATTTTTCATAAATAATTAAATTCAATTAACTGACAAATAAAGCTTATAGTAATTGACACAAATCTAGATGAAATATATTTTCTCTCTAGTAATTTTTCATAGGTTAAAGTATCATGCTTTTATGATTCTCTTCACAGTCTGATATGACAATAGATTTGTCAAGTCACAATATACTTGTTATATAGAAGTGGATGTCTAAGAAAGAAGACATGTCTTCTTTCCACTTTCCACTTTCTAGAAAGAAGACATGTCTAAAGACATGTCTTCTTTCAGACATGTCTTTATGAGAAAGAAGACATGTCTAAAGACATGTCTTCTTTCATTATGAGAAAGAAGACATGTCTAAAGACATGTCTTCTTTCTCATAATTTAGCATATTGTTTCTGCTATCTGTTATTTTAGAACTTTAACGATCGTATGTGATGTTTTTATACCCGTCAAATCTTTCCCCTTTTCCGAAAATTTAACCTAGATCGACTGTTTATGAGCACGTTTTCCTATATTTTCATTAAAGAAAACCCATTTTACAAATAAAATTACAAAAATACTGACGTCTAGAACGGATTAATTGTATTTGCATTAATTTCTACGGGAAAAATTGCTTCGGTTAACGAACGGACTCGTGGAACGGATTACGTTCGTTAACCGGGGTCCACTGTAACATTTAATATTAATAAGTTTCATCCATAGAAAAATAAAACTTTTTCACAAAACAGTAATTCATGTTTCTGTCTGACATGTCTTTAGACTACGTACATATTTGTTAGACAACGTACATATTTACGTTGAAAGCACTTGCAAGATTAAAATTTTATCGTAATTCTCTTTAATGCCTCCTAGTCTGAAGTTTTTGAATGAGTTATCTGTTGGCGTGACATCCAAACCAAGTATTTAATAACCTAACCATAGTCCAATATTGAAATAGTGTAACCAAAGATCTAAAGATGGATTATGTACCATTAAGTCCAATTATGTAATCAAATTGCTAAAAATTAGCGTAATTATGACTCANCTCATAATTTAGCATATTGTTTCTGCTATCTGTCATTTTAGAACTTTAACGATCGTATGTGATGTTTTTATACCCGTCAAATCTTTCCCCTTTTCCGAAAATTTAACCTAGATCGACTGTTTATGAGCACGTTTTCCTATATTTTCATTAAAGAAAACCCATTTTACAAATAAAATTACAAAAATACTGACGTCTAGAACGGATTAATTGTATTTGCATTAATTTCTACGGGAAAAATTGCTTCGGTTAACGAACGGACTCGTGGAACGGATTACGTTCGTTAACCGGGGTCCACTGTAACATTTAATATTAATAAGTTTCATCCATAGAAAAATAAAACTTTTTCACAAAACAGTAATTCATGTTTCTGTCTGACATGTCTTTAGAGTACGTACATATTTGTTAGACAACGTACATATTTACGTTGAAAGCACTTGCAAGATTAAAATTTTCTCGTAATTCTCTTTAATGCCTCCTAGTCTGAAGTTTTTGAATGAGTTATCTGTTGGCGTGACATCCAAACCAAGTATTTAATACACCTAACCATAGTCCAATATTGAAATAGTGTAACCAAAGATCTAAAGATGGATTATGTACCATTAAGTCCAATTATGTAATCAAATTGCTAAAAATTAGCGTAATTATGACTCATGAATAATTGATTTTAGATCTCTGGTTGTTAGAAATACTTATTGGGTTGTTCAGAAAGTAATTTTGTTTTTTTTACCACTAGATGGATTAGCATATTTTTCCTGTCATTTTCATTTTAAACTGTATTATCATCATATATTTTGACAGCTAGCATTTTAAGGCTTATTTGTAAAAAAAATTTTGTTTGATTCTGTGCAATTGTTTATTTTTTGTGTTCCATCAAATATGGAAGATCGAAAGCAGCATTTTCAGCATATTTTGCTATTTTATTACTGAAAAATCAAAATGCTGTACAAGCCAAGAAAAAAATTGTGTGATGTGTATGGGAAAGATGTATTGACAGAACGACAGTGCCAAAACTGGTTTACAAAATTTCATTCTGGCAATTTCAATATTGAAGATACACCACGTTCTGGATGGCCAGTTGAAGCCAATGAAAACAAAATAAAGGTACTGATTGAAGCAAACTGCTGAATAACAACACATGAAATCACTAAGAGATTAAATTTATCAAATTGAACTGTTTATGATTACTTGAAACAAATTGATTTCATTTCAAAGCTCGATATATGGGTTCCACGTGTTCTTAAAGAGAGATGCTCTCTTTGGTGGGATTTTAAGGAAATTTTTTTTGGAGCTTTTACCAGACAATTTAACAATTGATTCGAAAGTGTACTGCCATTGAGTAAACAAATTGAGTAATATCATCAAACAGAAAAGCTGGCCAGAATTGATCAACAAAACAGGTGTAGTGTTTTACCACGGTAATGTCAAATTTCACACAAGTTTGGTAACTGGTCAGAAACTGTTATAACTTAGATGGGATGTGCTATCACACCAACCATATTTGCCATATCCAGCACACTCAGATATTACTTGTTCTGGTCTATGCAAATTTTTTAAGTTGTAAAACATTTACTTGAAATGACAACGTCAAAAATCACTTGGATTAGTTTTTTGTAAGCAACAATCAAAACTTTTATGAATGTGAAATCGTACTACTACCAGAAACAATGGCAACAGGTATTTGACCGAAATGGTCGATATATAATTCAATAAAATATTTATTTATTATAAAAATATTGTTTTTTTTTCACGGAAAAAAACGAAATTACTTTCTGAACAACCCAATAGTTTGAAGTTTTATTTTCATGAAGTTTTAATTTCTTACATTATCATTCAACTGTTTTTGTATTTAAACATTCATTAAGTCATAACATTTTTTATTTTGACATTTATGTATATATATTTATGTTTAAAATTTTTTAGGAATTTAAACGATTTTTTTATTACTTGTTAGCAGTTTATTATATTGTAATAGTGATCAAATGAAAAATTTACTTGTGAAATAAATTTGACAAAATCAGAAATGAACCCTATTTTGTTAGGGATCAGAAGAAACACACACATCTTGTGCAGTTGTTTATTTACGCCCAAATAATAATAATTGACTCCTTTCCAGCATTACCAAGTATACTCCTCACAAGTAAACTTTTTAATTTGATATATATTCTTAGAGATTTTAATAACTATTGTAGTCAAATGAAGATATAAATCAATCTATGAAACATTACCTATTGTAATTTAAATAAATAAAGAAAAATTTAATTTTTTAGATATGGAATGGTTAAATGGGCCACAAGAAATTGATGGAATGGAAGTTGATATAGGTTTTATTCCACAACTTCAATTAATGTCAACTGGTCCATCTATTAAATTAAATAGTGAAAGAGCTAATGAAACATTTATTCATAGTCCATCAAATTATGAAAAATTATTTTCATCTTTAAAATGGTTGGAAGAACTAGATATGGAGGAATCATTAAGAATATTAGAACAAACCATGTATCCTTTTAAGCAGGTAATACTTTAATACAAAAATTAAACCATATAACAAACAAAAATATAAACATTCATTTTTTATTGATTTCTTTTAAATTATGTACAAGCTGATTATATTTTATTTCAATAAATCTGTTTTTGACTGGTTTATCATTTTCAAAGTTTAAAATTTGTTTAACAATTAAAAAATTCAATATGAATAGTAAGTAATAAGCTTTCTTAATTGTATTCTATGTAAATAGATAAGGAAACAGTGGCGTACCGTAGTGGGGGCGGCAGGGGCGGCCCGCCCCGGGCGGCACTTTTTAGGGGGCGGCAAAATTTTACAATAAATAACAATAATATCTTGTAAAAATTTGAAACATCCTAATCTATACTTGTATCGCGCCTACGATAGTGCTATCGTCCGAACAGTCCGAGAATCGGCTCGCCGGGTGAACTAGTAACTTTTTCATCCGAGGAATTCCTGCGAAACCTGTTGACTTTTTTTTGCTTGTACCATTCATTTGCGTTCATATACACCACTAATATCCAATAGAACTATTTTAAAAAGGTCGCTGCACTACCACCTAATTTTTCATTGCTTGTTCTCTGATAAAACCGAATTTTGGTGTTTTAAATTGAAATACCTAAATAAGGGGGGGCGAAATTTTCCTCCGCCCCGGGCGGCTGACACCCACGGTACGCCACTGTAAGGAAACACAACTTTCAATTTCTAGCAGTAGTGTAATACAATAAAAATCTTTTTTACTTATTCATTGGTTTTTCTCAGTTAGAATATTTATTAATTATATTAAGTAATATTGACTATATTATATATTATTATTCAAAATATTAGAGAATTCCAAAAACCATATGCATGTTTCTCATGCTCATCATGTGAAGCACTGATATCAGTGACAGATTAACCATTAGTCTGAGTAGACTTAAAGCCTAGATGCCCAGGAGGGTGGAGGCCCAAGAACAAAAAAAAAAATAAACAAAACATAAAACAAATGGTTTATGTACTTTAATGTACATTTTTGCATTTTGTGACTTGCCACTATGTGCAGGAATTAAATGTTTGGAATGATTGTAAATTATTAATTAGTTGATTGTTCAGAAACAACTGACTAAACTAACAGGTAATTGTTTGTAACTGTTTTTATCATATTGAACAGAATCACTCAGTTTTGGTAACTTCTAGAGAAATTTTATTTTGGAAACTTATTTTTCTTTTGGACAGGGCTGCCAGTGCATCAATTTTTCAGTGGATGTATTGATTTTTGACAAATTCTACCAAAACAACTTGAATAAATTACCATCATGCAACATTAATTTTAAATTTACTAAACAGCATTTTTTGTATTATATATTATAAAATAAAAGGTAAAACCTGAAACAAGCAAACAACACACATCCTTTAGTGATGATTAATAAATATGACAAGTTTCTCAATAATTCTAATTGAGGCTAATTGAAACAAACTATAGTGGTCTTTATTCTATCAGACTGTTTCTACTACATATAAATTTATATATTTTCCTCTGGGTTAAATTAATTTCATATGTTGTTACAATAGACTCATAGTGTCGACTTTATGCTGAAGGATTTCATCAGCATTCATCTGGAAACAAAATTACATGCTTACTCTTCTTGTCCTAATTAAAATAGTTAATTATGTGGTGCCAAAATCTTATTGTCCCAGAAATCAATATTGCTTATCAAGCTGTGTTAAAGCTACTTTATCAGGCAACACACTTTATGGTTTAAAACAGCATTGTCTTTTGTCATGTTGAGTTCAAGTAGTTTTCTTGGAAGTGTCACTTTCTATGATTTTTGCTAGAGGTGTTTATAGTATGTTTGTTTCAAACATACTGATAGTGATAGCTGATAGTGATAAGTTTGTTACGTTTTAAATAAAAATAAAATAAGAAAAATTTTGACAGTGGACGTGAAGGTTCAAGTAAATTTGCAATAAAGAAAAAGAAGTATAGACAATAGTGTAAAGAAGATTGAGAAAACTGTTGGAATTTAAAGGCTGGTTAATTAAGAGTTGTAATGGAAAAGATTACACAAAATGTAAGCCTGAGACAAGGATATTAACATCACAAGTGGAAAAGATGCATTAATTAAATAAAATAATGGAAAAAATCATATGAAAAATGTTCAGTTTATTTCCAAACAATATTAATTTAATTTGCAACTAAAGATTCATTTTATAGCATTTAGTACCATGTTACAAAATAGACTTATCTATTTTTTTCTTGTCTCTTACCCCTATATCCACCAAGTACTAAGTTGTACTTTGTTGTTACTGTTTGTTTTTGTAAAAAAATAAATTTCTAATAAACTTTGTTTTTGTGTGATGTTTGTAGACATTCACAATATAAGTATAAAATCGTTTGATTATACTATATAAAATAATATATAAAAATATTGTAGTTTGATTTAAAACTTTAAATCTACTGAATTTATGCAAAATTTACCAAAAATTTACAAACACATTATATTGATTTTAATCATCATAAGTCTAGCAATGTTGCTTTTAGGTGTCTACTAATCAAGTGATAGTCAATAACTGGGGGAAGATCATTGAAAGTTTACTGTGAAATTTATTCTTTTATAAAGTGTAAATTTCTATTGTAATTATAAATTTATGTATTCAATATGATTATATATTTTTGACTTTAAAAAAGCTTTATAAAATGTTTTAGATAATTATAAAATAAGACAAGTGAAAATGAAACACAAAGCTTTGGTTTCAAGCATATATTTCTTTCTATAAAACAAACCTTTTTGAATACAATTTTCTGATTAACTAGGTTTGATTTAAATGTAATTTGTAAAAATTACTACTGGCAAGAGATCAATCAGAGTCATTTATGCTGATTGATTCCCAAATATTTATAAATACAAATTGAAAAATAATTATCATCTCTAAAGTAATTTTGGAAAGAAAGAAACATAATTAAATTGACCAATTTTCATAATCAGTCATATCATATAGTCATTTCACACCATAGAAGGTAATAAAAATTCCACAATTAAAAGTGGATTGTTGGTGAAGACAATTAAAAAAGCTTTACAAAATGTGTTACCAACAATTTGGACATAGTAAATTGCTAATGAAATGATGAAGTATTGTTTTGATGGCTTTCCAAATTTTTTTTTAATGCAGATGTCTATTTTTTTTTTTGTATGTAAATAAAACTAATAATAAAAGGTGGAAATATTTGGTTCCTAATGTTTTTTGAAAAGTAACAAATTCCAAAATTGGGAGCAACTTATATTCAGGGTTGACCTATATTCAGGCCAATATATTTCTGTATAGAATAGACATAAATATATATCATAGGTTCAAATATATGGTATAGAATACAGTAACTAAAACCTGAAATTATTTTTATCTACTCAGTATTTTAAATTTTTATTTGATTCAGTTTAGTTTAATTTTACTGTTTAATATTTTAATTTTATATTGACATATTATTACAGAATGTGAAAATTATTATTTTATTTTCAGATTACATATTATAATTTTACAGAAGCTTATAATAAAGCAAAAATTGAAAATAAATTAATTCATGCAATATTACTCTGGGGTGCTCTTGATGATCAGTCTTGCTGAGGATCTGGGCGGACTTTGAGAGAAAATGTTCTTTCAAGTCCGCCCGTAATGAAATTACTTAAACATCATTTTATAAGTACTTGGAGTCTTACAATAGATTTAGAGGTACTTGTTTTCTTTATTTTCAAATTTAGTATAAGTTAATAAAACTATAATTTTAAATAATGAGTTAGGTGAAAATTGAGTTAATATGAATCTTTAATTTTTTAACATAGCATTACTTTTTAATGAATGCAAAATATTTAAAATGATTGACAACACCTGTTATTGAAAGTATAATTACTCTAATAAAAAATCAGTTATCATGTTTTAATTAGAAATATTTCATTTACTTATACTTTCCTGTAACACCTAAACCAGGAGTTGGCAACCATTTTATTACTAAGGGCTCAATAAAAATTTTAAAAACCATTGATGGTGTATAGTTTAATTTTTGAAAAAAATCACAATGTTATAATAAATAAACAAAATAATCATGTTTTGAAATATGTATGTTTATATTAAATATAGATTATATATGCATAAAATAACTGAAAAATGAAAATTAAAAGTATATACATAAAATAACACAATATCAAATTAAATAATATTACAAATACAGTAGAGCATCAATTATCTGACTCAATTGGGGACTGGGGTTGGTCGAATAACTGAAAAGTATGAAGAAATACATTATTAGTACAGTAGAACCTCGAAAACTCGGCTCTCGATAACCCGGCACTCCGTATAACTCGGCCACACCCTGGCAGGGCAAAAATATCCTTAGTTAATTAATTTTCATTATAGACAGCTTTATAAAAGTATAAAAGCTCTCATAAAATATTTTTCTGAGGTCTGTCTTATCAGGTAAATTACTGTACACAGTNAAAAAAATCACAATGTTATAATAAATAAACAAAATAATCATGTTTTGAAATATGTATGTTTATATTAAATATAGATTATATATGCATAAAATAACTGAAAAAATGAAAATTAAAAGTATATACATAAAATAACACAATATCAAATTAAATAATATTACAAATACAGTAGAGCATCGATTATCCGACTCAATTGGGGACTGGGGTTGGTCGGATAACTGAAAAAACGGATAACTGAAAAGTATGAAGAAATACATCATTAGTATAGTACTGTATATTAGTATATCCCATGTAATTAGTATATTAGTATATCGCTATTAACCTACTTTGCGTTGAATTTTCATTGATGTTAAACCTAACAAATTTTTTTATAATAATAATCGTTGCTATTGTATCATTAAAAATTATTTTATTGCTCACAAAACAAACAACCACTCATAATTAGAAAATTAAGCCTCGTTTAAATACTGGCCTCCCTTTTATGGTCGAGCCATGTTGCCAGCTAAAACACGCAAAAATTTTAAAAAAATAATAATAAAGTAGCCAAGACATAGCCAAATACTGTAGTGCCACATCACTAGCGGACATTTGAAATTTGCCAACTAGAACGGTGGTTAACCGATGTGACAGTTGATTGGGGGTCAGATAATCGATGCTCTACTGTATATATATTTGATACATTTGCACTTGCATGACTATGGTTCTAGAGGGCACATCTGAAATTGGTATCACAGGCACCACATTGCTGACTCCTGACCTAAACATTCTTATATTAGAATATGTAGGATTTAATTAGTCATTTATTTTGATACTTTGTTGCTCCATTTTGAGTAGTTACCACTCCTTTCATCACTTGTTATCTTTAAAATGATGAATGAAACCTTTCATCCTGTCATTTTTTTCTCTAAGTTTAACCATTTTGTTGTTGTTGTTGATCCAATACAACAACATATATATTAAATTAGGAGAATAAAACAAATGCAAATAGAGAACACTATGAGATGACTCCTGGGAGTACACTTTACACCCAGAATGGAGAGAGTTAGTATGATTTGGAAATACTACTTGTCTGTACAACTGAAGAAATTCAGAATCATTCAGTACGCAAGAAGATCCTAATGGCTTCTCTGGAACATGCAGGAAATTCTTTTGCTGGATTTTCTTCCAATTGAGACAACTTAGAATCCTGAAACCTCTGCTAACACATTGACAAAGTTGTTTGTTTCATAACAAATGCTGCAACAGAGATTCTGCCTCTGTCAAACTGTTTCACAATAATGCTCATTCTTATGTTGCAGTTGGGTTGTTCTTGTCAACATTCAACAATTTATCTGTGAGGTGCTAGCATCCATCCTATGTCTGAATCTGGCTTCTTTGGACTTTCATCTCTTAGATCCCATGAAGAATTTCTGTATCGTGTAACAGACATTTGGTACATGTACTTGGTCGAGTGGCTAGTGGTGCAAAGCTATTATTCATGGGATTATGACTGAACCCCCTAGGACAGAAGCCCCTAGCTGCAGAAATGGTAGTCGTTGCGAGAGTAATCCTGTATGGTATGAGAGGAACCACAGGTTCAGACACCTTTTTATTTGGTCACTTGTTGCTAGGATGTCAGCAAGTGCGAAGCAAGAAGAACAAATATATACCCCAGAATAGATTTGAACCTCTCGGGTGTTGACCGCTTTGAACTTGTGCTCTGCTAAGATTCCCGTTAGTTGTAACAGATGGATAACACTGAATTGGATAACAAAGTAAAGTCAGTTGTATGCAGTTGGCATACAACTGATTTCATTAACCTAACCTAACCATATGACAACAAAAAACATATGATCAAAAATTAGAGTTTTATGAACAACATAAATTAAAACAGCCACAATGAGAGAAATATCTCAAGGAACACAGTTTTGTTGAAAAATAGTTAAGTCATATTTCACATTTTGCCTAACTATTAAATTGTTTGAAAAAAATTTTTATTCACTACTTTTTGATTACTTTTCTCTTCCCATCACTTGTTCTAACTGAGGAAGCCTATTTAACTCTCAGATTTCCAAGAAAAGGCCATCACAATCAGGGTCCATTGGGGTCAAATTGTTTGAAAAACCCTTTTTCAAATTAAATCTTACTGGAATATAATTTAAGGCTTTTGTTTGAAGTGTTTATGATCCCAAGTAGATTTTTTTGTATTTAGCTACAGGTTTTATTTCAAAACACTGTCCAGTGGTGTTTTGTCATTGTGACACATGCAACGGGAAATGAAAATGCTGGATATGATGCAATGATGTCATTAAAATATCCATATGATATTACATATGACGTCACATGGTTATAACCAGTAAAACTTGTTCTATGCAAACAAAACCTCAAAAGTAATCTGTTTTTAAAAATATGTTAAACTTTTATTTATTTATTTATTTTCTTAATTTACATATCAATTACAAATCTACAGAATGATCTTTGCAAACAAAATTATCACATTTTACATATTTTAGGCTCATTTTCACATCTTTTTTTTTCTGTTGCAGAAACTTCTCTCATGTCTGTGTCACAGGTCTCTATAATTGTGCAGGAATCTGTTGTTTCTCTGAATTCTTTTTTTATGAAAGATTGTCCCACTTCAAAAAGGAAAACTCTGTGATAATTGGCCATGGCAAAACAAAGATTTTGCTGTGGAGGGTGATCAGAGAGGAGGATCTAAAATGTACAATCAGAATGAAGAAAAATTAAGTGTACCATAAAGTACCATTTATTTATAAACAACAAAGCCATTACAATTCTAATAAAACTCATAGTAGGAATTCAAGTTTTCTAGGTTTCTGCTAACTTATCTATAATTTCATCTATGCTCACCTACAATTTTTTGTGAATGGAGAGTACAGTAGAGCATCGATTATCCGACTCAATTGGGAACTGGGGTTGGTCGGATAATTGAAAAGTCAGATAACCGAAAAAAAATCCGTTATTAGTGTAGTATATTATTATATCCCATGTAATTAGTATATTAGTATATTGCTATTAACCTACTTCGCATTGAATTTTCATTGACGTCAAGCCTAACAAAAATTGTAAAAATAATAATCGCCGCTATTGTATCGTTAAAAATTAGAAAATTAAACCTTGTTTAAATACTGGCTCCCTTTATGGTCGAGCCAGTGTTGCCAGCTAAAACATGTAAAAATACTATTAAAGTGGCCAAGACATAGCCAAATATTGTAGCGCCACATCACTAGCAGACATTTGAATTTGCCGACTAGAAGGCGGTCAGTTAACCGAGGTGATGGTTAATCGGGGGTCAGATAATTGATGCTCTACTATATTACTAATCCATTCAGCCTGTATTGCAGTGTTGTATTTTAGAGGTAAGTCTTAATTATTTTTAAGGTGGGGAGTGATTTTTTGGCTGTTGCAGTTGTGAAATCCGGAATTTTACTGAATTTCCCGATTAATATCCCGTATTTTCCTAAAACCCCAATTAACTATTAACCCCAATTAACAATTAACATTGTGCCAGTACACAATATTTCCTTAAAACCTAAAATAAAACCTAATGTAAAAAAGGGAAAAATTCCAATCTCCCGTTTCGTTCAAAGTAAACTTCCATCCACTTCGAAAATAATACCACATTCCAACTCCAAAGTTGATAGTTAGCATGGACCCGGGAACAACTTTGACCCATCCACGTACCTTTTATTTCACAACAATTGGTCACATGACCATTCTCCCACGACAAAACTATAAAAGCCACTTGCTTCCCCCTCTCAGGGCAGTTGTTCATCCACCGTCACTTAAATACTGTGTCCTATTTTTATATATTGTGTCCTATGAATCTTGTATCCTACAAATATTGTGTCCTACGTATACTATTAATTTCCTCAAGAGAACTATCAACATAAAGAGGTATGGAACAAATTTTTGTGAACTCTCTCTTGGCCCTTCGCGTTTTAGGGACTCAGAATTTTCCCTCGATAATAGTTATTGTACTGTCTATGTAGATAGCTAATAAATCATTGTTTCCTAGTTAAATTGGTGCCCTCTTTTACTTGTATATCGCCTGTCACCTTACCGACAGCACTCCTCCCTCCTCCACTCGATCCGAACAAGTAAAATTCTATTACCGCGGGATAAGGAAGAAGAAACATTTAAGCCATCTTGATAGTGAGCAGGTTTAACGACCTGTCGCTGGAAAGGGAGACCTCCAACCTCCCCGGCGGTTCACACAGTTGAGACAGGAATCATTGCAAGGATTTGCAATAACTTGAATATGTTGGGAACCATGTTCATGTTGCACATAGCTAGCACATCCATTGCTATCTTATATGGAAGATTTTCTATATTTTGGCATTTCCTGTATAATTTTAACTCGGCAATCACATCCAAAGGAGATTTGTTGAGATCAGTAGCATACGATTATAGAAGTGTCAAATCCTTTTCTTCCTCACTGGACATAGGAAGGAAATTTGAAGATGGAAATAGTACTTGGAATCCATTAAATATATCACTATTTTGAATGAATATATGTTCCAGTTCAGAAACAAAAAGTTCTATGAACAGAATATAAATTGTGATATGATAGTAATCTTCATGTATATGAAGGTAAGGAATTGGACAATGCTCTTGTCTTCTCATAATGCTGTGAATATTAATGACAACTCTAAGCTCTTTGCTTTTTCAAAGATTTTGTGAAACTGATTGTCAGCATCATTGCAAAGTTTGCAGTTTCCTCTGCACAGCAGTTGCCATATTTAAAAAAGATTAAGATCAGTGTATAAGCAAGAAACAAGAAAATTATCATCCAGACGTTAAACAACATACAAGTATTGCTATAAACAACTAGCACTTTCAACTAAACTATTTTCGTCTTCTTCAGGCAGGTGAAAACAGTTAATATCCTTTTATCAAATAACGATTTCAAACTACTCTAATGGCAAAACAGCTGTTTTAGATCAGTGTTTATTTTAATGCAAGTGCTTACTAAGTGGAAAACCAGTACTGAACACTTGATGTAAGATAAACAATAATGGCAAAAACTGTGATTATGAACTTACATTCTTTTAGTAGTGTTGCATCTCATGCTGTATCTGTATTTTTCCAGATTGCAATTATATCTAAACACTCCAAAATTCCAACTCTGGCATCAAATATCAAAGAAATCACTCACAGAATGATAACTTACAATCCAGCATGTTGCACAGTTTTTTTTTTTTTTTTCAGTTTTAATGTTTGTGGTAAATTCTGAGTTTTTGAACTCTTTACACAAGATGTCTTTTTGTTTTGTTGGACTAAGGAAATTGTGCAATTTACCAATAACACCAATGCAGTTTCAAATATCTACGATTTCAAATGCCTTGGATGCAAGCAGATTCAATGAAAATGATACACTGAGTGTAAATTGCTGTAGATGTGAGAAGCAAGCCTGAGAAACATGTTCTTGTGCTCCATTGAAGGCACCAGACATTACTGAAGCCCATCATATCCTTGACCATGAAGATACACTGTCACTGTATCAATGCTGAATGATCTGAGATCGCTCAAAATTAAATTAGATAGTTCTGTCCTAGTTAAATCTGATATAGGGACAAAATTCAGAAAATCTCTGCAAAGCATTTTTGTTTCAGTATTAACATATCTGGCACATATGGAAACTTGTTCAACACCAGATTTGTCTGAAGTTTTATCCACCAGAACAGCAAAACACTTGGTCTTGTTAACATTGACAACAACTTGTCTCAACAGAATATCATAGCAAGCTTCTAATATGAAATTTTGAAAATTTTGTCTGAGATACTTATAACCTGGAACCTCTAAAGTAGCCTGCAGATTGACAGTGCTGTGTGAAAGTTTCTTTCATTCCTATTGTGATTTCTCAGATATAGATATATTACCAGAATCACAATAATCTCAAAGCACCAATTCCTTCTGACCATATAAAATAATATTGGTTCAGTTATAAACAGTTACTGAAGAATACTGCAAGTTCTCATCTGTTTTCCAATATTTATTGCTACTTTCTTTGGTTGATTGTTTTCTATGAACAGGGAAAATACTTCAGCCAATGAAGTTGAAAATAAATCATGTAGGTTTTTCATTTCACTACTTTGTATAGACTGTGTGTACTCTGTACCAGAAAAGGTAAATTCTTCAGATGGTATTCATATATTTTCTACAGTTTCTTATATTTTAGCAGTTCTCTGAGATTGGGTTTTGGTTTACAAACAAGCAGTGAGTCTAATTCCCACTGTTAGCACTTGTGGAAGCAACCTGTATCAAAATGTTTAGACTCAGTAGACTTATCAGAAGCACTAGTAATTTTTTCTTTGATGTTTGTTTTTTGCTTTTTTATAAGAAAAAATCAATATTGGAAGATTTTGTGTCTTTTCTCAGTCATTTTCTGATTGAACACAGTTTTAAACATCAACAACTTTACTATATAACTGGATTACTGTATATTAGATCTCTATGTAATACATCTCTGTAATCCAACAAATGGTAGATGGACTCACAGCAAACTGCTGTGAGTCTGTCTACCATTTGTAGGATTACAGAGATGTATTACATAGAGATCAACAACTTTATCATGCTAATGGACAATTAATTAATTAATTGTCCATAATTTACTACTCATGTACACTTTGATTTTACTTGTTGCTTGTGTTTATTGCTGTCTATTGTTTGATCAAGTTGCTACCAACAAATGAGCCTCCCTTATATAGTCGATTCCGCTTAATTGGGACACATTAGGACTAATCTATTTTGGTCTAATTAAGCAGCTGCCCTAATTAAACAAACTAATAATAAATTTTAAAATAAAATATGTAATATGTAGGTAAATAAGTAGGTAAAAAATAATAATTAGGTACCTATTTTAATGCTTTATTAAACCAAAATACAGAAAATATTTGTATTATAAAGTTGCCAGACTCACGACGATAGATAACTGATTTGCATCACGCTAGTGTTGCCAAATACAGTATTAGTAGTGATGTACACAAGAGTTGACCATTTGATTTGTTCTTGATGAAATAATTTTTCCTTTCTCCCTTTTTAATTATAACATGCTCTAAAACGGGAGAAAGGAAAGGAAAGTAAATGTCACTGTACGATCTTCCTTTTAGCACAGTTTCCTTTACTTGGAGATGGGTCCCTTTGGCAGGAGTGTCCATAGAATCCGCCAACTCTGTATGCTGGTCTCAACGATCGGATGGCTGCTGTTTGAATTTAGACGTAATTATGCATACAATACCTTCCAAGGAAACTAGCTGTTGAGAGACCTTGAAAAATTGTCCAGGGATTTTTTTCCCTTTGCTTTTAAAGGGATTGTCTGGTCCAATCTGGAGCAGGGTTAGTAACTCACATTCAGGTCCATCTCAGACGGGATCCCCCCATGTGATACATCCCGCTATGGTGTCTTCCTCCAGAAAAACTGAATTGCCTGAGTGAAAGACAAACTACTTAGTTAGGCTTACACAACTTTAGTGTATATAGTGTCTACATATTTTCAGAAGATCCCTAAAATATATCAAAACTTGCTAAATTCCTTTTCTGTTACTGTCCAATTAAGCGAAAAGTTGTCCCAATTAAGTGATTAAATTATGTATTAATTTATTAGTTTGGTTTCTGTTCTTTGAGATTTACCCCAATAAAGCTGCTGCCCCGATTAACGTTGGCCCAATTAAATTGAATTGACTGTACTTGTCAGACAAATGTTCTAGAATGCTATCAATTCATCTAGAAGGAAACTTTGAGAACAAACTCAGTATCTGAACTATGATCTTTCTTCTAGAACAAACCATAGTCACATAGTATAAATAAGCTATTTGTAACTGAACATTCATTTTTTTTTCATCATAATAAGAAATTAAATAATTGATTGATATTGAGTTACTCATTAATGAAATATAATTTTAGATTTATTGTTTAAAACAATGTTTTTTAGTTTAAATTTTCTTCCTAAAGTTTTTGAGGAATCCAACACACATATCACCCCCAAAAGTATGCTAAAAGTGGCATAGCTACTGTTTAGCCCCTGGAGCAAGTAGAATCAGTGAGCTCCCTCATTCCTCAGAAAAGGTCTCGCGAAATTTATTTTGAACATTTAATTTAAAAACATATCTCTAATTATTTCAATTTAAAACCTTACTTCATAACAATTTATTTGAGATTCAAGGCAATTCAACAATAATATATTCAATTTAATAAATACAAAAATAATAAAACAAAATATAATTCTTTAAGTACAAAGTACCTAATAATATTTACTATATATTATAAAAACTGTATTGACAAAATGTATGCAAGTTTAGTTTCATGACAAATACATAATAATACATTAAAAAAATACTTCAAAATTGTTTTTTCGCTTTTTTGTTTGCAAATCTGTCAGTCACTTTCTCTGGATCAAGTTGACAAGCTATTGTTTTTTTTCTATTGATACAGTAGCCAGATGCAAGACAGTGTTGTGACATGCTACTTCTTAAATAACTTTTGATTAATTTTAGTTTTGAAAAACTTTGCTCTGCTGTTGCTATCGTTGCTGGTAAAGTTAAAAAAAAAATGACACATGCTGCAATAGTGTGGGAGAAGCTACTTGAGGCTGTGGTGTGAATTAAAAGTAGTTTGCAACTTCACGTATAGAAGTAATTTCTTTTACTTGAGTATAAAAACACATTTTAAATCAAAGCAGTTGAGGTCCAAAACTAGGTGAAATGTTTGAGGGATATGTCAATTGTAACAATTCTGATCCTTCCAGAATATTTTTATCAGATGATGCGACAAGATATGTAGGTGATAAAGAGTCTAGTAGTTGTTGCTTATCTTGATAATCAAGTTTGCAAATTTGATCAGAAATCTCTTAATACTAATAGACAATATTATGTTACACCTAGGCTTGAGTATGTTATATAATAAAATAACATTACATAATATTATTAACAGTTATATTTTTAATGTAATTGTAAATGAAATGCTTTGATGGGTGAGAGTCCTTTAGTTTATGAAGTTAATTTTTTTTTGTGTCTAACAGGAAAAAGTTTGTATTTTTGAAATGAAGTTAATTATGCCTTATTTAGTAATTACGATTATAAAATATATTTTTAAATAAAGATAAATTTTCTTTCAATGAAATCTTGATATTAAATAATTTTATTGATTTATTTATTGAAAAATATTGCAGATAATAGCTAAAAGTATTCCAAAGACAGAAATTGTTGAATTTGCTCAAAATTGTCTTGACAAGTATAATTTTCCTGTTGAGTCATTAATAATATTGCCAAATGGAACTGTTGTTCATCATATCAATGCTAATATACTTTTAGATAATGAAAATGATAACTCTTTTTCATTATTTGAAGGGTAAGATTTAATTTTTTTTTTCTAATCATATAAATAATATATGAAATATAAAACCAAAAAATTTTTAATGAATGTTTCATTTAAAGTTTTACAGATCCTGTGGGCCGAAAATATTCATCATTCTTGAAGGAAGGAATATCAAAAGCACAGAAGTTTTTAAGTTTGAAAGATGAACTGTAAATTTTGAAGATTGAAATATTTTATTTGAATGATGGTGATAAATATCAAATATTGTATAATTTATTTATATAAGGTTAATAAAATTAACTTTACATTAACAGTTAATGAAATTAACTGTTGATGTTAATTAGTTAATAATTAAATTTTAATAATTTGTATTAAAAATTATATTTAATTGAACTATTCCAAATCTTATATTTATTATTTGACTTGAAACTGTTAAATGATGGTTAATTATTTCATGATATATCATAAAATTTTTTGAAAGAATTAAAGTAACTAAACAAAGTTCATATTTTATTCAAAGTAAAAAATAAGACTGACATATTGTTGGGATTGTTTGAAATGTAAAAATAAGTAAAATATAAGTAAAAGTTATCTAGTAAATTTTATAAATTATAAAATATAAATCTGTAATTGCAGATTACATTTTAATTTTTATAAATTCATTAAAAGGAAAGAAATAATTCATACAAAATAAATGTTATTTAGAAGATGTATTTTATTTAGTCAAGAAAAAATATAAAATAAATGAATAAAACAATGGTTAATAGATGACAATGTTGAAAATGTGAATTTTCAATTCTTAAATTTATTATAAATTAAATTAGTATTAATTAGTACAATAATAAATTAATATTATAGATTAAATAAAAATTAATAAATTTACTATTTTTTATACACAAACTTTGTGGAGAATAATATTTTTGGCAGCTTACAGATTAAATTTTAAATACAAATTTAAACATCTTCATAATGTTTAAAATGTCTAAAATATTTTCTTAGAATGTTTTAATATATTCCTTTCAATAAGTATATTCAATAACGATGTATTTGTATTAAATAATAACGTATAAAATTTCAAAGTGAAAAAATAAAATTAACTATTGATATTTTTAGTGTAAAAATAAACTTAAATTTTTTACAAAAATGCTCTTAAGTCTTTTGTATAACTAGAAGAAAAATGTTGATATATATTTATTTGAAACATTTTTAAATAATAGATTAATTTTAAGATATATTTTATATTTTTAATTTAGTATTTGATTGACTTTTATTAAGTCTTAATAAGTTATTTAATTAAAGTCTATAATATGTATGCAAACAAATAAGTATTGTTAATCTTTTTAAATACTACATCAATCAGTTTTTTAGATACTGTTCTCCTTAATATTAAATGAGTATTCTCAATAAGGAATTTACAATATTAACAATTATACATTTGTAATTAAAAATTGTTCCTCATACTTTTACAATTGAATTACAATGACAAATTTGTTATAAATATTGAGAAATAGTATGATACATTGAGAAAGTTTAAAGCCAAAAATCTCTTGGTACCTAGTGTTTTCTTTTTAAATATAAATTTATTATTAGACTGTTCCTATTAACATAAATTTTATGATTTATCTGAAATAATATAAGNTGATTTTCAAAATAATCCAATGAGACTATAATCTTATATCCAAATTTTTAGAGGACTGAAACAATATATTTGAAGGGAAAATTACAGTGTTGTTTATTTAATGTCACAAATATTAATAATAAAATTTTGTTTTTATATTGTCCATGTAGACTTTGTTTATAAATAGGATTAGCAAAGGGAGGAAGTCTTAGTTAAAAATAAAACAAAAAGTATCCCTTTATTTTCACCTGTACACTCTTTTTGTGTTTCAGACCTGCAGGTCTCTTTTTGTGTGTTTTGGCCCCTTCTCTGCAGTTTTACATTTTATAACAATATTATTATATAAAAATTTTTAAAATATATATAATGTTACACTTGACAATATTTAAAAACACTTACATCTTCTCTAATGTCCAATATTAATACAACAATAATACGAGGTGTGTCCGGAAAGTAAGTACCATCTCATTCTACCGCCACTGCAGCGGTAGTATCGCAGTTCAGCATCTGCGCACACGTGTCTCTGGTTGATTGTCAGTCCAGTGATGCCATTAGAGCCGGATTGTGTTGTTTTTCCACATGTTAGTGAGTGTTCAAAATGTTTAAGATGATTGCTGATCCCGCCGATTGTGAAGTGCATTCTGTAATACGGTTTTTGAATGCAAAGAATGTTAAGCCAGTTGAAATTCATCGTCAAGTTGTAGAGATTTATGGTGAAGATATAATGAGTGATGGAATGGTGAGAAAGTGGGTTCGACAATTCAATGCTGGACGCACCAATGTTCATGACGAAGCACGGAGTGGCCAGCCTTCTATTGTCAATGATGGTTTGGTTGCAAAAGTGAATGAGAAAATTCTTGAAAACAGATGGTTCACAATAAGATTGCTTTGTGATGAGTTTCCACAAATTTCAAAAACTGTTTTGCATGAGATTGTCACAAATCGCTTAAATTATCGCAAATTGTGTTCCCATTGGGTTCCCAAAATGCTTACGGATGTCCACAAAACGAAGCGACTTGGAAGTGCTTTGACATTTCTTATCCGATACAGTGAAGAGAGTAAAGATTTCCTAAACAAAATTGTTACCGGTGATGAAACTTGGGTTTGTGATGTTACTCCAGAATCAAAACAACAGTCGATGAAGTGGAGGCATTCATGGTCCCCTACAAGACACAAATTCAAAACAACGTTGTCAGCACGAAAAATCATGTGCACTGTGTTCTGGGACAGCCAGGGCGTTCTGCTTGTTGAGTTTCTTCCCAGAGGTAAAACCATCAATACAGAATGATACCGTGAAACATTGCAAAAACTTCGCCGTTCAATTCAAAACAAAAGACGTGGAAATCTCAGTAAAGGCATTGTGTTGCTTCACAACAACGCATGTCCCCATACTGCTGGTGTCACTCAAAACCTTATTCAACAATTTGGTTGGGAGCAGTTCGATCACCCGCCGTACAGCCCCAACCTTGCACCTGCAGACTACCATTTGTTCTTGAACTTGAAGCATGATTTTGGAAAGAGGCGCTTTGCCAGCGATGAACATGCAACAACCAATGTTCAGCAGTGGCTGTCTTCACTGGCACCATCTTTCTTTGAAGAGGGTATAGACAAGTTGGTTTCCCGATATGACAAATGTCTGAACAAATGTCTGAACAACTCGTAACTATGTAGAAAAATAGTTTCCAACATGCTCTTTCATGTAAAAATAAATTTTGTTTTGAAAAAAGATTTTTTATGTGAGTTTTTCCAAAACGGTACTTACTTTCCAGACATGATTTGTACCTACATAAAGCATCTAAAAGACAGAGCTAAACATAATTATCATGGTCTTTTCTAATTCGTGCCTTTTTTATTTTATAATTTATGTAAAGATGTCCTATCTGTAATTTATCTTGTGATGAGCTGCATTTAATACAAAATTAATGAAAAATTTTCATATTTCCAATATCTCATATGTATAAATATAGTAATGTCTGTAATGCACCTTAGAAGTAATAAACTACTGTAAAAATCTATACAATTTGTATATTTTTACAAAACATGATTTAGGATTCTGATCTTGACCATTATTTTTTATTAATTTGTTTTCAGAAAACTATTTTTTGCAAAAAACAATGACCTTGCTCTCTCTAGAGGCAGCACTATCAATGTTAATTACTCTATCTTTTCACAATACTATATTCTTATAAACTTTATGATCTACTTTGAATGCAAGCATGTATAGTGTTTTTAATTAATTCATAGTTGTAATAAAAAAATTTTAATGAGTTAAAATAACATAAAGTTAAATATCCAAAATTCACAGTTTTTGAAATGATTTGGAATCACTATCACTTCTTATGTTGAATGGTTTGTGTCAAAAGTATATATGTTTTTCCATGTAAAATTATTAATTTTTTTTAATCAAGCAACAAAAATTAGTGAATATTTTTAAATTAAATGTTAATTCAGTTATGACAGTAATGCCTAGGAAGTGATTGTTAACTATTGATGGTGAGTAGGAAAAACAAAAACAAAAAAAAAAAGCAAGTGGATAAAACTACTTATCACTAATAGTTACTCATAGGTTAGTGTCTGATCAACAGGATAGCTGCATAAAGTTTATAGATTTTCTTTATGTGACTACCACCTAGAGGCCATTTTATAAAACTCCTCCCACGTGTCTCCTTGGCAGATCACCCATGTAGTGCACTGCCTTCCATTAATCCAACTCAAAAAACAAGTGAACTCAAATAGAAACTGTAAAAACAGTTTACATTCATGACTAATCTGAGTGTAAAGATTCCATCCCCATAANCCCCCATGTGATACATCCCGCTATGGTGTCTTCCTCCAGAAAAACTGAATTGCCTGAGTGAAAGACAAACTACTTAGTTAGGCTTACACAACTTTAGTGTATATAGTGTCTACATATTTTCAGAAGATCCCTAAAATATATCAAAACTTGCTAAATTCCTTTTCTGTTACTGTCCAATTAAGCGAAAAGTTGTCCCAATTAAGTGATTAAATTATGTATTAATTTATTAGTTTGGTTTCTGTTCTTTGAGATTTACCCCAATAAAGCTGCTGCCCCGATTAACGTTGGCCCAATTAAATTGAATTGACTGTACTTGTCAGACAAATGTTCTAGAATGCTATCAATTCATCTAGAAGGAAACTTTGAGAACAAACTCAGTATCTGAACTATGATCTTTCTTCTAGAACAAACCATAGTCACATAGTATAAATAAGCTATTTGTAACTGAACATTCATTTTTTTTTCATCATAATAAGAAATTAAATAATTGATTGATATTGAGTTACTCATTAATGAAATATAATTTTAGATTTATTGTTTAAAACAATGTTTTTTAGTTTAAATTTTCTTCCTAAAGTTTTTGAGGAATCCAACACACATATCACCCCCAAAAGTATGCTAAAAGTGGCATAGCTACTGTTTAGCCCCTGGAGCAAGTAGAATCAGTGAGCTCCCTCATTCCTCAGAAAAGGTCTCGCGAAATTTATTTTGAACATTTAATTTAAAAACATATCTCTAATTATTTCAATTTAAAACCTTACTTCATAACAATTTATTTGAGATTCAAGGCAATTCAACAATAATATATTCAATTTAATAAATACAAAAATAATAAAACAAAATATAATTCTTTAAGTACAAAGTACCTAATAATATTTACTATATATTATAAAAACTGTATTGACAAAATGTATGCAAGTTTAGTTTCATGACAAATACATAATAATACATTAAAAAAATACTTCAAAATTGTTTTTTCGCTTTTTTGTTTGCAAATCTGTCAGTCACTTTCTCTGGATCAAGTTGACAAGCTATTGTTTTTTTTCTATTGATACAGTAGCCAGATGCAAGACAGTGTTGTGACATGCTACTTCTTAAATAACTTTTGATTAATTTTAGTTTTGAAAAACTTTGCTCTGCTGTTGCTATCGTTGCTGGTAAAGTTAAAAAAAAAATGACACATGCTGCAATAGTGTGGGAGAA